GCGTGCTTGCACACTCACGTTAATTAGCACTTCAATAACGCACTATCGCACGCGATGAATATTCATTCGGCAGACGCGATTCGCGAGTTCGCGCAGTCAGTCGTGCAGTTTTACACCGTTTTCTTCTCTGAGCTAAATTACTATTCTACAAAACTAAATGCGGCATTAATTATCAAGCGCAGTCCACTGAAAGGCGTAAGAGGCAAGGAGAACGTCGTTCGCATAATTACGAGGAACTATATTCAACGGTTAACATAAGAGACCGTTTTGGTGAATACATGAAATGATTACGTTTACCGTTCATAATTTTCTAGATTTTGTTTTACAATTTAAAACGTGATCGCTGTCGAAGCTTATGAACTCCGGTGTTTTATACGCACCGATGAAATAAGCGGTCTCTTCGAACAATTCTATCGACACGATCGGTTGCATCTGACGAATAAAGTCGCGTCAGGCATTGCTGCATTTCAGGTTTTGCGTCATAAAATGTAAAACGTGATTATACATCGAGTTGTCAAGTTCATTTCGCGGTTTTCGCACTTCAATATTTGATAAAGTAACGATCGGGTGAAGTGTTTCGAAACTTGTGCGACTGGATCTAAGGAATAAATCAAGATGCGATGAATTTTGCGCCAGGCGTCGCGTTTACCGCGACCGTAGCCCGAAGGCGCGCCGCGAATTCTTGCCTGTCGCTCACGGCGGATGCATTCTGAATTTTCGATCGGCGGAGTTTACGGTACACTAGTCCGTGCACGCGCGCTCGCGGGAGTAGGTGACAATGACGATGCCGAAAAGACGCTATAAGTATGCGAGGACGAAGCGGAGCCCCGATGGAGGCCGAGGTTCGCGACCGGCAGGAAGTTCTGCCAGCTGTAACGGTACCGGGAGCGCGGCTACTCCGCGCGCGGACGCGGACGAGGATGCTCGCTGACGTCGTTGTCGCGTCGTCGATAAATATAGACGGAGCGCCGTCATAGCGCACGCTAAAGTGCTCTGTCAACGTCGCGGAGAACGCGAGAGATGCGAATCGCGTTTTCTCCACGGTTGGAAAACCGTGCCGGAACCGAAATTTCGGAACCGTGAGAATTGCCTTATGAAAATTTTTGATTTAATCTCCGATTATTTTTTTTTTTTTTTTTGAAAGTTTAGCTCCTTAAATATCGCAGAATTCACGATGACCTCATCACACTTGCATTTGGGTTGGTCTTGTACGCTTGGCTAATTATCGCCGAGGTTTCTCCGAGGTCAATATTAACTCACCTGCCAAAATTCGTGTGCGGGATACGTCGCATAATCAACGGAGAAGCTCGAAGTTAAATATTTCAAGCATGTCGGATGAGAATCTGTTGAATTATCTCTTGCAGTCACTGGAAAAAAATGTACTCATTTTACATTCAAATCGGAGCTTTTTTCATTTAATAATGCTTCCCAGGTCAGATTTGTTTAATCATTTTCTACTTGCCGGCGTTTTGATTTTGTTACCATCGAATTATTCTACTCTGATTCGCAATTATCTTCGGACGAGTCGTTCGTCTTCAAAAAGGTGTGCCGCTTATCGAAACGAATCTATGAAACGAATCCGCCGCGCCGTTAACCATTGTTGACACTAACGGTTGCACGATTACTAATGCAGTGATAAGACTTGCGAGGCTGATTAACATTTTCCAGTGTCTCACCATTAACGGCTATTTCATCGACTAGTTCCATGGGAATTATAGTTGCAGCGTTTAAGATAACGAGTCGCGATTGAAGTATTTTATTTCACACGCCTGTGTCTGCACGTTTTAATCGTTTTGTTCAAACGTCTTCAAAGATATCGCGTAAAAATATAATCTGTAATTATTTCAATTTTATACACTGGACGCATGCTCTCAAGCTTAATCGACTTAACTTTTTTTATTCTAGATATTCTGCATAATCGTTTAATGCGCACAGCTTTCTACATAAGCGTAATTTATTTTTCATTCAAATTGCGTCATATGTTATTCACGTGCAATGAATCAACATTGAAAACAGTATTTTGAGCAACAAAGCATGATTATACGAGAATTCTTTTCATCGCGCATTATACGACATGGCCGTCATAGCTTATAAATTTCTCGAGGATCAAAGCCGAGAGACGGGAACTTCCTTGATCCCGGGATGATTCATATCCCGCGTGATGCGGATACAATAGTTTGCCGTGTAACCGGGATAGAGTGGACTCATCAAGGATATGAGCGAGCCGCGGCGAGCGACGTAATGTGGGTAATTCGTAATGAGGACTTTATGCATTCCTGAACGTTGCCCGCTTTCTCTGCCCGTCTCTCTCGCACGGTTCTCTCCACGCTCGCGTCTCGCTTCAATCCTTTCTCCACCGCTTTATCCTGCCTTGTGTTAAGTCCAGTTCCGACCGTGGCAAGTAATTCACACTGAAACGATCATTAGTTCAGGCATTCTCAACGCGTGCATCGCAGCACTTTATCTGCGTCCTCGTTGCAGAATGAATGTGCGAATAATTACATAAAAGTTTACCGGCAAAATGTAATAACTCCGTGAGTTCTTGCATTGTTAAAGTAGCATTACACGTGACGTCTCTTTGGTTAGTCGTTTAGAGAAACTATTTTCACATTCAACATTTATTTGCCTCAAAAGCTATGACGTCTGAAAATATAACATTTTAATAACAAGTATAGTATTATTTAATGAAAAAAATATTTACTCTATATTTTACTTATTTTCTCTTTTTTGCCAGTATCGTAATATTTGCTAAACGTTTTTATATGTACATAACAAGTCAAATATTTTTATGGAAAGAAGTATTTCTCTCAACTTAATTCTCTTCTTCTGAATTCATTCGTTAATAAACGTTATATAAACGCAAAAGAACCGAAAGTATGAAAAATAGAAAATTATCGCTTCAGTGCAAAAAATTGGCCGCATTCTTGTCTGAGTCCGGTCTTATCCTCAACGCTGGATTATATCGTTTGTACACAGACATGCTCCGCGTCATGCAAACGCTTACACGGCACTGCAGGGAATGAAGAACCTTAAGCGATAGAAGCAACCAACAGGATCAACGGTACTTCTCGGAATTAAATTATGCATAGTGTATCCTGTGCTGATTGCGTAATCAATGTCTCGGATACGGATTTCCTCACCGAGAAAGAACTTCGATCCTTCATAGTCAGTCGCGTTTTATAGCCTCTTACTAAGAAGGAAAAAGTTATGTTCATTGCAGAAAGGAGAAAAGATTGTGCTAAGTGAAAAAAATACGAAAAATATGCGGAATACGAATCTGATCGGATAGTTATACATATATTCATGATCGCCGACATTCCGCCGCGAACTCCCGCTTATGGAGCAATCGATAAGGCACAGCATCCGGCGTGTAAAGGTACGTGCCTCGCGTGCTCGGTTGCGTGAGTTAATAAGCGATGTGAATGACTTAAAGGTATTTAACCGCGTCAAGCAATGTTCACGAATGCGCTGGAAACTCGGTTCGTTTCCGGCTGCAATAAAATACTCTTGATTTTCGCAACGCTCTTGAAATCTGACGGTAAAGTGACTTTTTACGAGATTATCCGGAAACAATTTTTTTTTATTGAAAAATATTTTCTTTTTTGTTTCAGAGTTAGATTGGTTTTCAATTCGTGAACAATACGCACTTACTTTGTTGACATGTGCGTATGAGAGATTTTAATCAGAGCGTAAATCTAACTTATCGGAAAGTACGTGGAAAGTATATCGAAAGTACACAGATCGATGCAATCGTCTTTCATGCGTTACTGCGATGATATCGAAATCGTTGAAGTTTGAACTTGGTGGAAAAGAATCGACTTGAGAATATAATTTATAATGTCATTTTTGTAAAACGGGAAACTATCGCGATAATAGATTGCAAGAAGTATATATAATACACGAAAGAAAAGTGCATTTAATTAAATGCAATTTTGACTGCAATAATATGCGGCAGATGGACGCACACGGAAGAAGAATAGTCCACGGTTCATACATACCTCCCTCGTTTTCGCTCGAAAGAACGAGGAAAGGAGTTTCCGCGTGGTTGTTGTTAGAGAATTCACTGATGCCAAGCGATGTACTCGCGATCGGCCGGTGGCTTTTAAGGTAAAGCGGCACGTAAAGTAAAGAACGTTGTGGAAATAGAAGAAATGAAAAATACAGATGCATTGAACGGTGACAGCGAAAAAAATTATAAGTTCTAAACAAAATCTTGTGTTTCTGTACTGTACTGTTATGCGTTTAGAATATAACATAACATTTTATTGCGCAACGTAATCGAAGATAGCGACAATTAATTGATGGCAGTCTAATAGAAATAAAATTATTCGAGATAATTGAATTGAAAAATTTAATCAAGCTTCAATTCGCTCCAAGCTCCGATCGGTCGAAGCGAGCATGTAAAATTGGCGGAACGGCGGAAGACAGACGGACGTGGAATCGGCTCGAAAGAGAGACGATGAAGAAGGGGGCAGATGGAATGTAGCGAATGGGGTCGCTGCCGTTGAAGGCAAACGACTGCGCCCCCGGCACCGCCTGGCTAGCCTGCCTTCGAATACCGCGGGACGACGGAAAACGATGCCCATTCACATTCCCGAAGTGACTAATTCGCGCTATCTCTTACGTGACGTGCACGTGTACGTGCTCGAATCGATCATATCGCGGAATTAGAAAATCCGATTACCGTGATTGCACTTTTCGAAAGCAGAGAGATTCCATTATCCGATTTGGAGAACGGCAATTATTAGAATACGTATTTCGTTTAACATCTTCTATAAATGAAATATATAATATCTTCGCATTTTAAGATATCATTACTTTTATTTTAGGGGAATGGAAAGTATGAAAGTATGAAGTTTTCTAACATTCGGTGATATTTCATGTCGTATTAAGTAGATGGGATTAATTACAAATTGTGAGAAAAATATCACGTAGAAATATATTTATTAAATTTGATTTTAAGATTTATTCGATTTTATACAAACGTACAAACAAACAAGAAATAATGAACTTATTTATTAAATTCAAGATAAACGGTATTGATATACGATTCGATAAAAATACTGATACAATTGCTGACTTGGTACATCATGATCTTATCACAATTCTATAAATTAATCTTAAACAATGTACATATAGCTTAACGATGACAAAGATCTATTAAGTTTAATTATCGTAAACAAGATGAAATTAGAGATCAAATCGTTTTAATGAGACTGCTTTACTTAATCTACGAGCAACGCATTAACACTTGACGATTATATGCATTTAACGAAGAGACGATAACAGGGTTCTTCTGGCTGGACCAAAGATATAAGCGGTTTATCGTCACGCATGGTCACCCACATGCCTGGATTTAATCTTACCATATAGAAATCATCGCGAAGCGGAACAACAGGCTCACTCGAAGTTTGGTTTTTATGATCGATTATACCGTCTGTATAGTTCATCTTTTGGCATATCATTTTTATTTCTTCTTGTGATTCCACGGGCGATGGAAAGCACTGAGAGTGCCACACACCGTAGGATCGTTGCATCACTTCACCCGCATTAGATCTGAGAAACCAAATTTATAATATTATTAATATTGTGCATTATTCGTATGTGTATAATAGAAAGAAGACAGAGATAATTCTAATTAAACTCGTACCCCTCCGCAGATTCTTCCAACTTTCTGCATTCGATCTCGTCTTCGCCATTCGGACAATCGTTGTCGCCGTCGCACACGAAATCTTGCGAGATACAAATAGTATCGTTGTTTTCGCTACACATATAAAGTATATTTATTAAAATATGAATTATAATAATTCTCATGAAATTTATTATTTGGCAATATCTTGTACAATTTCAAAGTGTGCAGGAACAGGAAAAACGTTTTATGCTAATAAGCTGACGATAAAATATCACATTATCTTACCTGTTGCATTTAAAACTGGCTTCTGTGCAGCGACACATTTCTGGTGACTCGTCGCTTTTATCCAGACAGTGTCGTACATTGTCACACAATCGTTCCGGTTGGGTCAGTCTTAGATATTCCGCACAGGTGCACTTGAAAGGTTCATCCGTTCCGTCCGCGCAATCGACTTTATCGTCGCAGAATTCACTCTTCGAAATGCATTCGCCATTCCCACACTGTATCTGCGATTTCTTGCATTCTACATAAATTATATAAATTTTATTTTAATAGAACAATTAACATGATGATATTAATAATAATAATATAAGAGAAATATATAATATATGAACTTAGGTGAAATAAAAAGTTCAATTAAAGTTAATTGATAATTTTGAATAGATCTGTTCACGAATCGTATCTCAAAACTTGAAGAACTTCAATAATTATTTAACGTCTAATAAAATTATTTACTGAAATTATCCACGTTGCTGCTTCTAGCCTGTTGCGTTACACGTAAACACATCGCGTTTGTTTCATCCGCACCATCACGGCAATCCATCATACCATCACATACTTGATTCCAAGGAATGCATTGTCCGATAGCACATCGAACACCGTCACAAATGGCTTCAGGTATCGGCTTCAGCTTTTTCTCTGTAAAATACACAATAGGAAAATTAAATTACTTAGAAATGTATTTTTTATCTTTTTTTGACAGAAACATGACGATTAAAACATGAAATTAATTGAATAATTAAAAATTAGAACAAAAATAAAAATTTATACACTGTTTTCCAAAAAATCGAAGCAAATCTTTCCACCCAATGAAACTTTGAGACGAGAATATCACAGAAGAGAAGTAGTTTTCTTTAAGAAAATCCGTGTCTCAAATGTTACAAACAAATATTTTATAAAACCAAATTATAGGCCAAAAATTGTTGATTTTTGTGATAAACAGTGTATATATACAATATTTATGTACAGAACTTACCCAAAGCTTGCGTGAGGAAAGCCTGGATGTAATCGATGCTCGTCAAGTTCCGCACGCCTTGGAAGCTGCATAAATCATTTTTGTAAAACACAGCTGCGGGATACCATGCTGTCTCGCTGCGACAGAACACCGTTCCGCTCCAATCCGAGGAAGTTTCATTGTCCTAAGCACAAAATTGGAAATAAAATCCGATCGCAATATGTATTTTGCTGCAAATATACGACTAGATAAAGAAAATCATAATTTAGTATTACAAAGTTACCCACCGGACACTTGGAACCTGTAGCTTCAATGAAACAGCGATAACACTTATCGCAGTTTTCAAGGATCGGTTGCAGGAAGATTGATTGTGTCACCTGTTGCTTGTCTATGCCGACAGCCACGCATACATCATTTTCGGCCGGCGGATAAATCCTGCACAGATTCGTCAATTAACCAAAAAAAAAATGCGAAGGAACTTATACTTGTGTAATAAAAAGCATATATTCAAAATACGCACTTCTTTTCTAAAAACAATGGCTGCACATAACGGGTGATATTCACTGTAGTTTTCAAGTGGAGTAACGAGACGTCCGATGTTTTCACGTCTATGATTTCGTCGACGACGTGTATTTGTTGATAAGGTCCGTCGACGTAGAGATACGAGCGGCTTTGGCCAAGCACAGCTGTCGTGTAGTTCACCGATAATCTGTAATTTATTCTTCGTCATATCTTTCCATTCTGACATTCATCGGAGGAAATCGAATCTTACAATTAAAAATAATCGCAGACAAATAATGAAACAAAATGTTCATTAAAACTTGCGTGATTTGTGTTTAATTAACGCGTTAAAAAATTATTTTTGACGTAAAAATGAATCTTCGAAGAAGCAGAATTCACTCACCTGATGCCTTCCGTGCAGCTCGAACTAGACAGGAGCCAATCCGGTTCCAGGAGTAAAGCCAAGCAACGATAACGGCCGTCTACGAAGATGGCAGCCAGCCATGGCCACTGGTAGATATGGTTTCCGGTTCTCGGATCGACGATCAGATACGAGTCGGCGCTGCTGCTCAAAACCGGTCTGCAGCGAATACGTAACGTCGTGCACGTTTCTTCGACACTCGCTTCGACGCGGTTCGACAGCTCCGTTTCGTAATCCGAAGGTGTTGTAGAGCTTCTCCAATATTTTGCTTTCAGCATTGTCTTGTTCACAGCGACCTTATCTACTGACTGTATGTTTCTGTATATAATTGAGAAATTTTTAAATTAATATTTGTAAATTAGGACTTATTATAATTAAATACTGACATTTGGAAAAACTTGTGTGCGCGAATGCTAAAATTTAAATTAGATTTAAAATTTCAATTGAATAAAAGATTTGAATTTAATTAAATTACTAAGTGTTTCACGTACGCGAAACCAAGATAGACGCATAAGTTCCGTCCGATTGTCGACGTTGTGGTAATGTTATCCAAAATGTCTGGTGAAAGACACTGTGTATACCACGTTCCCTTGTAGTGTCTGCTGAGTAAACCTTCTATGTTTAAAACTGGCCGTTTATCGTTATCCAAATTTATGAATTCTCCATCCGTCAGTGCAACTGAAAAAAATTAAGACGACTGATTTCAGTCGGCTTTTTTGGCAAATATTATTTAAAATATGATTCGTAAACTTACGGCAATCAATCTCGTCCTCGTTCAGAGGACAATCGTACTCTGTGTTGCACTTCTTCGTTATCGGAATGCACTTTCCGCTTCTGCTGCAGTGAAACTCGTCCTCTTGGCAAATGTCTGAAACGAGCGAAATTGAACGTTTTGTCCAACAAGTCTGAAAATTGTGGCAAAATTATGTATAGAATACCGCAATATGTTTCATCCGTTTCGTCGGCGCAATCGATGTGCCCGTCGCAAATTGCCGTTGGTCGGAAGTTCAAGAGATAATCTCTGCACGTGCAGTCTTCTTCGTCGGTGCCGTCTTCACAATCCAAATGTTTGTCGCATCTCTTGTTAATTGTTATGGTTTGAATCAAGCTGCAAATGAAATGTGAACACTTATTATCTCATTTCAAAAAACTCATTTACGTTTAATACAGAATTGTATAACTTGCCTTTTGCATGTAAATGTTAATTTAATATTCGGCATAATTTCCGGCGTCGTCGTGTCGACGCTTGTAGAATCTGGAATTTCATCGCCGTCAGTCTGTATTTTGATCTCATAGAAGAATCGAGTGTCGGGAGAAATGGGAATTGCTTCTGTCCTCGCTGCTGCAATATGAAATTTCCACGAAATATATACACATTTATGTCATCTTTAATTTGACTTTTATTATTTTATTAACAGATTATTATTTATGATTTTATTGACAGATATATTATTAACGATCAGACATTCTTATCGGCAAATATAACAAAAGTTTGCACAACTTACAATTTTCAATAGTAGCGCCGGATACTTCGTCTGCCTGCGATTTTATCATTTTGTCATCTGTATTTGACTTTCTGGCGTAATCTGCGCCACATAACAATTCGTCTTCTCCATCTAAACAATCTATAACACGATCGCAACGTTTCTCCCTCGGCAAGCACTTTCCCGTTTGACAGCTGAATCCCGGACAACTACTCAAGGGTTTATTTCCTTGAAGGTCTGAGGAATTTTCTACAAAATAATATAAATGATTTTAATAGCTTGGAACAAGTATAAATTACAAAAAGCCTATTTTTTCTATAACTTTACTTAGCTTTTTCAAAAAGACTATCAGAATTATGAAATTCTATGAAAGTTTTGCAGCTGTCTAATTATTTTAAGAATTATGTATTTTTTTTCGAAGACTTACCTAATATCAAAATGATTTGCCGAATCCAATCCATGAAATAACTCACTTTCATGTAGACACCTGGTTCATTTGGACGCGCGCATCCTTCGCCGTGGCTGATTATACCGGCCACATACCACTGCGATTCCAAATTTGGATTTCTGTGCAAGAAAAATGTTTATAGCAATAATCCGATTTTAACGTATTTGCTTATCAATTATTACCTGCACATTAAAGGACCGCCGCTGTCACCCTGGCATGCATCGTAGCCGCCTTCATAAAATCCAGCGCAAATTGTGGCGCTGTTCTGATCGATTACACGCTTACAGTTCGGCAAAATCGGCACTTCCACTTCTCGTAAATTATCCGCTGATACAAAAATTTTTTTCCAAATAAAGAAAAAGATTACACCTTTTTTCAAAATGTATATTAACAGGATAATTAATAAAATTAATTCCAACGCGATATTTCCGTGCAGATTGAATCTTATTGTTAATTTAGTTATTAAATTTATAATTGGAATCTTTTATTTTAATTATTGATTGTTAATTATTTTATTCGATTAGTAATTAAAAATTGTCTTACGATCCGGTCCATATTCTTTCGTGGCTCCCCATCCAATAGCGATACATTTGGATTGCGGCATCGGGCCTTTTGCCCAATCATTACCCGCGGTGCTTAAATTCGGTAAGCAAATTTGACGGACCCAGCGATTAAAAAGGAAAGGACGGTCCAGCATAATTATCGCAACGTCGTTCTGCATATGCCGATTTTCAAAGCTAGAGTAAATAATCACGTATTTTGCCACCCTCGACTGAGCCGTCGGCGAAAACGAAAATCGCCTAAGTATGCCGGCTTGTACTTCGAAATAATGTGTCTGGTATCTGAAAATTATTCACAAACATATTTTAAAGTTGTATGAGAAAAATATCAAGATTTAGTAAATTTAATTAACGTTTGAGACATATAATTATTCGTTTGCCGTAAAGTCAATTAATGAGATGTTTGAGAGCTCTTACTCTTCCATGCAGTGAGCCGCGGTGAGTACGTAAAACTCGGTGATGATAACACCACCGCAATGGAAATGCCCGTCCCGATAAATAGCGACCAGGGAGGGCCAGGCTGTGGGCTGACTCGCACGACCGCCGACTACTCGCGATTGCAATCTAACGTCGTCGTTATTTTGATTTTTCTCCTCGGATTCCGTGGGCTCTTTGGGATTTTCTGCGATGAACAGCTCCAGTATTTCTTGATAGTGTTTCTTAAAAATTGCAGCTTCCTCGTCTTGCTCGTTCATATGTCTTTTGTGTATCTTATTGCTCGTTATGTTGCGATTAAAGGAGAAATTCGCACGGGATGATATTCTGGTACCGCAAGGTAAGGACGGACATCTCACGAATATTGCTGTATCCGAGCACTGCGCGTCATTCACAAGTTCTATCTGATTGCCTGATTCTTTTACGTAAGAACCTTTAAAGGTGTCGGAAAAATGAACAGTGTCTATTTTCGGCATCGTCCTGCAAAATAATAATAATTATGTGTAAATATAATAATAATCTGCGAATGCACTTGTCAACTTAGCAAACTAGCGCAGACTTAGAGGTTTATTTTAAATGTTAAATGCATAAATAATCTACCAAACCATATAATATGTGTGTGTTTAAGAAATGTTAAATACAAATATCTGTAACTCACGTTAGAGGTTGGTCAGATTCCGACTGGCAAGCATCTACGGCCCAAGAAGATGAGATGGAACAGACGGGATACCATTGTCCTTTTACATTTTTGTGCAGATATCCTTGCGTGAAACCAACCGTAAATGTCTGCAATAATGAGTAATGATTAAAAGCGGTGAATAATAAATATATTAAGTGATCTGTAACGCTATTTTGCTCATACATCTTCTTGACTCAACATCAACGATTCCGCAAGTATATTGCAGTTCTGCTCGTCCTTTCCATTAGGACACTGATAAATCCCGTCGCAGCGTTGCGAAAGTGGCACGCAATTATCGCGGCTGTAACGTTTCTCCCAATCTTCACAACTAAAAGAGTCCACCGGGCAGTCTAAAAATTAAACATGCAGCTTCAGTAACGCAAATTTTGATTACTTTTTAATTTAATCTAAAATTTTGCAAAGAAACATTGATGCGCTATGAATACAAATGTAGATGAATGTGTAATTTGAAAATGTATAACGTGTTACTGTATATGTTTCGTGTAAAATGCTTATGCGTAGGAAAGTTTCGTGGGTAAAGTAGCAGCTTATACACATAAATGTTACCAGTATTTAGCGTCATCTGGTGGGCATCGATAATAATTAAGAAAAAGGAATGTTTTATATTTGTAATTTATTATAATATTAGCAAAATGCTTGTGGTTAAACATGATCTTCTAATTAGTTTTTAATTAGTTCTAATTTTAGTGAAAGCAATATAAAGAATGTGCTCAGCTGATCATTTAGGTTCCTACTAAGATACGTAAAATTTTAATTATATTTTGTTAAAGTTTATGCAGCGTTAAAAATATTAAATATCAGCAATTAATTATATATAAATATATTAAATAATTTATACTATACGTTATATCAATATAAAAAATGTTTAATTAGTGGAGTATCTAGAGAATTCAAATAGCTTTTATTTATTTAAGATCTGGAAATAAGTTAAATAAATTTTACCAAAACAGCCGAGTTCGTCCTCTCCATGTGGACAATCGAAATAACCGTCGCAGAGTCGTTCGTGTGATATTCGGTCTCTGCAGGAGCACCTCGTCTCGTCGCTGACGTCCATGCAATCAACGTGACCATCGCACCACTTTCTTTTCGGGATGCATTGCAGATCATTGCACTGATGATAATTTTTGGGGCACTTATTGAACGCAAAATACGCTAAAAAAACATTTATTATATTATTAAAAACAATATTCTAGTTATTCTTTCGTTCTCTCCAAAAATTTCCGGTCAATTTACATTTTAAACTTTCGACGATGATTTTAAGAGGAAAAGAAAACGACAGATCAGACAATCCGAAAAATTGTGAAAAATTTTCACGGAAAATTCGTAAAATATTACTTACCTGGATAGTCTTTCCATGTGCTACTGGTGTCCTTTCCAAACAACGGCTGTTTTGACAGATTCTTCACTTCGTAATCGGACTGCGACACGCCAGGCGGAAAGCCAAAATTCGGCATTGTCATATAAGCACAAAAGTATGGCATGCCGGCGATCGGCTGTCGGAATATCGTTGACGACTGCTGCCGGGCTGTCATTGTCGGCTGTTCGCTCATCGTGGTCGGTTGCTGATTCAAGGAGAAGATCGGTGCGCTCGGCGTGGTAGCTCCTGCAGGATCGACGCTCTGTCCCTGTGTTCTCTGCATAAACTGCACTGTGTTCACCATTTGTATGTTTTTCGGCTGTGAGGAGTCTTGCTGAAGTTGATCTTGGAACAGCATTCCGTCACTTTGCGACGGGGAAAAATTGAACGCGTCTGTGTAAGGTGTTGAAGATGATGGCTCACTGATAAACTGGCTAGGATTGCCCCAGAAGCAGACCGGCTGTGGCCACGTGGAAGTAACCTGCTCAGAAGACTTCGTGCTCTCCGTGGCTGCCTGGCTGGGTTTGCCGTCGTTCACCGTGTCATAATTTTCGGTCGGCCGTCGTTCGTGTAATTTTGGGTCGTTGTCGGGAGCTCGATAATTTGCGTCTGTAACGTCATATACATTTCTTTGAAGAACTTCAGTCACAATTACATACTTGCAACGTAATTTACAAAGGGATTATGGAATTATCTGGAGAGAATGAATATTTGATTCTTGAATTATAAATAAGAAGGAGAAACTTCTTCAGATATTCTGCTTAAAAGCATGCGGAACATCTCACATAATTATGAATTTCCGAGACTTTCAGCTTGCACAACTTTGAAAATTATGAACACACACAGATATATATATTTCCTTGTTATAAATATTTCTCTTTACAAACTTGAAAGAAAATATCAAGATTAGCGTAAAAGAAAATCAGGAAGAAAAAAAGCGTTTAATTCGCGAAGCTTAAGTATAAGTCGAAATTCCGCTTTTATTTTGACATTTCATTATTTCATTGTGCGCCACGTACCATTCATGCTCGCAGCAGATTGATTTTCCGAGTGATTCTCGAACGGAGGATGCATCGAGGGAGGTAGTGCGCCGTCGTCATTGCCGATTCCGGTCACGTCGTATCCTGCCGACACACTCGTCACGTTTTCAGTAATCGCGGTGTGATTTGCAAGATCGGTAAATTTACGTGCGCTCGCCTCCGTTGATCCCGTCGTGTCGGTCACGATTGTGGCTGCCGTGGATATTGCATCATTCACTATATTGGTAATCGCACTATATTGCGTGGTTGTAACACTTGGCTCCGTTGTCGAAATCTGCAAAAGAATAATGCTACTCGAGGCGCCTTTGCTCGCAGCTATTGCACCGTGTTCTCGGTCTATGTATGATGCAGTAGGAATGCTCTCGTTACTTTGGACTTTTATGAGCGAGCCGTTTGCGACTGATTTATCGCCCGGCTGTTCGACGTTCACGCTCGCCGTCGAATTTTCATTATTGCCAGTGACGTTAAAGCTGATATGATCAACCGATACGGTGGTGGTTTCGCTGATTTTTTTCAACGATTCATTCGCATTCTGTGACATTTCGCTCTGAACCGAATCTATTTTCGCCATTTGGATTTCCGATGCTTCCGTTCGATTAACTTCCGTCTGCTTCGGACCGCTTTTGGCCCTCGGGTCATCCAACAGTTTGATATCGGTGAAGCCGGAATCGCCCGAGCGATTCTGCTCGGCGTAATCGTGCGGGAAATACTGATCCTTCGATTGCGGCGCGGATTCTTTGTCGGCTGCATTCGTGATAGCCAGCTGCATATTTTTGCAACGCAGACAATTCAGAATATCCCTGTTGACAAACTCGGTGTTTCCATTGTTCTGAGACAAGGTCACGAGGTAGCTCTGCACGGTCTGCAACAGCATTTTGCATTTTTCCGCGTTTTGATCGCAATCCCTTCTCGCGCGCGATGTCTCTCGTTTGAAACGCGCTCCGACGTCTGCGCCATTTATCGTCGAAAACGCATCGCTTCCCACGGCTTGTGTTATCCGGTCCGCGAGCTCCGTCTGATCGCCAAAAGATGGGTTCTCATCGATCACTTCTTCCGCTTCCGACGTTGATCTTTTACCGAAAGTATAGTCCAAGTCAACCGCCTGTTTGCGTTCCGTGTGCGATGCCGGTTGAACGGAACTGAAGATCATGGCGGAAAAGATGAGAATTTGAAAAGACTGCCGCATCAAACGCAAATTTTTTCAACGACAAATACCATCAATCAGGGATCCGGATCGAACCGGAACCGGAATCGAAGAAAAACCGAAAATAATTTAATTGATTCGGTTATAGTTCCGACGTTAGAAGCTTTATAAAATTTTAGTTCAGTTTTGGTTTGATCAAAAACAAAACGATTACGGTTCCGGTTCTGGTTACGAAACAGTTTTTCCGGTTAATTCAGTCCCGGTCTCTGCTATCAATAATCTTTATGTATGTAATATTATGTTATGTAATATTTACCAACCTACAGTATTATCAGCATTATACATTAACAGTAGAAAGAACATAAGCCTTATTAAGATTTCAATTAGTAAAATGGATCCCACCACAGCCAGAATGATACGTTTACATTGTCTGTAAAAGTTTGAGTGGCTGCGCACAGCTGGCTTTATTTTACATTTGTCGGATGTTTCGCCTAAAATCATAATTAATATTAATATTCATTCTCGAACATGTGATAGATGTAAAGTAACATTTATATATGATAATACGACATATTAATTTAAAATGATGAATTTAAAATGATAAGTATGATAGCCGAGAAAAAATGGTATAATTGATCAGATGTAAATATGTATAATTAGTTATAAAATGATCTGATAACATATGTAATTTTTTTTATATGATCATATAAAATATTACATATTATCAGAGCTTTTCATAACTAATTATATATATTGACCATATTATACCGTTTTTTCTCGGGTATATATAAAATGTAACATAAATAATATATATCCTGCCAGAATTATTTTTAATATTAATACTTATTATTAATATACTGTCAAAAATTTTTAACAAGGACTGATGTCAAAATGAAATCGTATATTTTTCATATATGAGGTAACGAGCTTACCTGCATCTGTCAACTCAACGGAACATGATGAATCGATTGGAATGTCGACCATTTGCGAAGACGAATCTTTATCGACATGCAGCGGATTCGATTTGTTTAAAAGACGCACTAATTCGAGGAAAAAAGAAACAAAATTTTATTAATCACAATGAATCGAAAAATTAAGATTAATTTAACATCTGTTAATCAATTCAATCCAGAATATGCAAGAGAATATAATTTGCATATACAAGAGAATCGTATTTTGCATTATTCGCTTTTGTAATTTTTTTTAATTATGAAGTCCTTACTTTCGTCGATCTTCACTCTGGACAATACCGACGGCGACTAAACCAGTCTCTGATATAAGCCGAGTCATTCTTAGTTCCGGTGTCAGCGAAAAATTGCTGACAGCTTATTTCGACTCCAGTTGCATTCGTGTGAACGAACTTTCTCACGCATTTCGATAAGTGCCGTCGCACAGCTTGCAAAAAACAGTTAATGGAATTCTTGGCTTCCATCGCAAAAAAAAATTGATTAGATTTAAATATGCGTGTTTCGTAAGCAAATTCAACGCTCAATAATCGACCTCTCGTTTTGCGGACTTGAGCACTTGAGTTTCCTTATCGCATCTCGCAGCCATAAAGTAATAGAGAAATTTGTAAATAACACTCACGCGATAAATGGCATTCATTTTCAAACAAAATTTGTTCTCGGGAATTCTTGACAAAAAAACTATTACTCTTCATTGCAGAAAGTTCCGTAGCTTGCAGAGATATTTCTGTCTCTATTAAAAAAGAAATGGAAAGCTAGATAGTACTTGTTCTTTTTTGTGCGGAAATTACTAATTGTAAGTTGAATAAAGTACTTCGTAAAAAAATGTTCTTAAAAAAAAGTAACGAAAGAAATATTGCCGTTGAAAAAAATAAATCGTAAAACTAGAGCGCAGTAAAGTGAAATTTTTACTTCGATACACGATAAAAGCTACGAGCATGAATAAAATAAGTAAGGAAAACGTATGAAATTTTTTTTTGTGACAACTGTAACGAATGAAACAAAGCTCATTTTTCAACATAATCACTTTTTTCTCCAATACTTATAATCAATTAACGGTTTACAATTTTTCTGATTTCTTTTTGCACAAAAAGTTTCGTAAATTCTTCTATGTCTTTTTTCAAACGTGCAACAATCCGATATCTGATTCTAAAAAAATGTAGAAAAAGTTCACTTTCCAGCTGACTGATTGTTTCACTGATTGGCAGCTGTCGCGGAATGCGGGCACACGTTATCGTTCAGCACGGGAATTCCGTCGAAAAGCATATCTCCGTGTCTGTTGCAAACTGGCTTTAGGTTCCATTTCAGTCACACACTGTACAATAAAGTAATAACAACAGTGCTTCAAAGTAATGGTTCGGCAAAGCGTTTACTACAGCGCTTCTATGCGAGTTCTCACTTTTTTATTCTCGCTCATGTTTTAATTACGTTTGCACAAAGCGCAATGTGCCACTTGGACGATGAAAATGCTATCGGGAGTGAATAATAACACCGTCGCAACTGCAAACTAATCATATAGTTCGAAGTATTAATGGAATAAGTTTTCATCTCGGCATAGGTCACGCTTTTCGATATTACGCCACGGATTGGCCGTTGATTGTCGCGAAATGGTACGGCTAACACGGCACGTAACATGGCACTACTAATAAATCTTCCATATTTAGAGGTCTTCGCAATTCCGTAATGTGTTTTCACCTCTTATTTAACAGCTTTCAATCTTAAATAAATTACTCGGCTTGTACTACTTAAATTATTGTAAATATTAGAAATTATTTTTTTACATTGTTAACAAATGGTATCTTAATTTTTAACATTATTTTTCGAAGAACCGAGGAAAGAACGGATGCGATAAAGCTGAAAGCTGAAATATGTCGTATTATATGCGACATAAGAAATATGGCGGGAACAAATTAATTTTATGAAACGAAATGATTCATTCAGAATACTTTTTTTTTTTTATTGTAATGCGATATTTTATATTGTCGCGTTCCAATTATTGCGTGCACGCAGCAGAACGTAATTTGCGAAGCTGTTACATACGCGGAACATTGTAAGCTCGAATTACAATGTGCTTTTCCGCTGTGGCAAGGAAGACACGCGATACTTCCTGAAATTTTCGTAGGCTGAAAGTAGCTTTTTTATAAATATATTTTCGCTAAAACATGTTAATGTTAAATCAAACTGCATGTTAAACACACTTTATATTTTGAAATTTTATATGTGATATGTCCAATATCCAAAATAGCGAAAATTACATTATTCTCTCATTATGACAATTATCACGATCATTGGCGATTAAATGATCATTACTGTAAATTGATAATTTGCACTGCACAGCCGCGTGTCGGTACATCAGGCTGGTGTTTTGTTACGTTGAGATCGTTTTTGCGCTATTGTAGCGACGATAATTGCACAATCCGCCTCGTTTTACTTTCTCCTGTAAGTGCTCGAGTCGCGCTACGGATCGATGAAAGTGACAGTACGCGCTCCAACGTTACACCAAGTGCACGATTTTATTGACGTATCGGATTTCTTCATTCAACAGTGATCTTCATTGATTTACGCTCATCTAATCGCAACGTAATAATTATCATATAGAATCTTCGCAATTATCTCGTTTGCGTATAAATCAAGAGTGCTCGAAGAAATCAACGAAAGCGACGAACGAATTTCTCTCAACTAAATATCGATGTCTCGCTTGACTCACAACTTGTTAAGCACATCACCGAAGAGACATTTTCAAGAAGATTTATTACGCGTCGTTTATCAAAATTATGTAATTAAACCGGGAAACCGTTGGCGTAACGTTTCTAAACTGCTACGTGTAAATTATATTAGCTTTCAATGTTTTAGAAGCAATTAATTTTTATTTTTATTTGTATTTGATATAAAAAGTAATGTGTGTTATTTTAGCAAGAAAAAACTAATTATATAGATTAAATATAATTTTGCAATTTATTTTAATGACTTTACCTTGCGGTTTACATTAAAATTCTGCACGGTTCGTTGCAAATAATGATGCCCGGGTGTCTTTTTTAAATACGCGCATTGTTCGGAAAATCGGTAATCTAACATGCTGCAAAAATTTCGCAAGAAAAACTGGTTCTTTAAGCAAGATTTAAAAAAGAAACGAGAAAGGAGTCTCTTGCACAGGCGAGACAAGAGAGAAATTGCTTTGAGATGATTGCCATCCATCACGTTAAACAGAAAACCTACGAGAAAACGCTTTTATTTTGTGAGTATTTATTAAAAATTCAGATTTAACAATCTAAATGAAATATTTTCGTTGTAAATAAACTTTGTGAAGGCAAAGTTTTGCAATTTCTTTTATCGCGTCATATTTAGTATGTAAAAGCAAAATTTACATGCACTGATGATTACGCGATCGATTAACGCATGTATTTACAACACGGAGAATTTCAGAGATGTGAAATTTGCTTTCGCATTCTTTGAGAAATCCTGGGAGAGATAGCTGGGAAAATAATATTCGAGCTGGTATGCGGGTTCGTATCGAAGTCAAGGGAAATCGGAGCGCAGTATATCCGTTTTTTTTCCACGCGATCCGCGATCATATGAATTCATAATCTCGGCCGTTTAAAACGTGTTCTCCGACCAGCAATATTTTTTCTTTATCCTCCTACTTTTACACATGTATTTGCCGAGAAAGATGTTTGAATATATTTCCAGGGTTGTGACATTTCGTTCACGAGTGCACCATTTTTGAACAAATATCGTCCGCATAAACCATAAAGCTGCTTGAAATATCAGCGCTTTATATCTTTTTGGAATTTGCATGTTTTTCCTGCAACTTTTATTTAGTAGTACGAAATATAATATATTGTCGCACATAATCTTGTACAAATAATAATTTAATAGAATATATAAAATAGAATATAATATAATATTAAATTAAATTACAATAACACGTAATTTAATAAACATAATAAGTTACATTTATTATAATATTTACACCGTTTATCATTGTTTTACTTCAAATAAAAGTGAAACCAACGTTAATTCCAAATATTAATACGATGTGTAAACTATAGAATCCTGCCTTTTGCCTTAATGATATAAAAAATTCAATTTAAAGCTTTCGAATTAAACTCCTCTGGTAGAAATTTGTGCAGTTTGATTGAACACTGGCCAGTTACTATCTAATGTTACTGGTTTTTTTTTATACACAAAAATACTGCATTGTAACTAAACAAAATTAGTAAAAGCAATTTTATTATACAATAAAATTGCTTTAACTAATTTTGCCAAAAATATATTTTGTTAAAATATATTAATATTAAAAGGTTTTTGATCAGTTTTTGTTTAGTTTAGTTGTTCTCATGTATACGTTTTGTAAGTAATAATACATTGTGCGCTGGTGTATAAAACTTTTTTTATGTTATGTATAAAATAATCAAGTGTAAAATTAATAAAAATGTGCGAACGCGTGCAAAAATATAGGGCAAAGAAAAAAAAACTTATAGAATTAAAACAGCTTAGAATACGCAATTCACATAATTCTGTCATAAAAATTTCAAGAGAGGTTAAAAGTGACAATTGTCAATTATTTACTTATTGCTCTTTTACTGCTAAGTAACTGAGTTCAGATTTTGTACATTTTTTCTATGTAGCAACTGCGCGAAAAGCGTTACGTCTTGATTGGAATCCTAAATAGTTTTACTGTTCAATTACTAAGAAGAAGCCAATATAACTGTCTAAATGGAAAACTGCATTAAATTTCTACCAGAGTCTTGATTATTTTAATTTTATTTTTTAATTTGAAACTTTTAATTCAGCTTATAATTAAATTTAATTTTAATCCCTCCACAGCATTTCATCGCAATTCATGCGTTCTTTTAACAACTATAATAATAAAATTTAGTGAAAATGATTTATTTCTTTCATATATCATATAACGGCTTATTTCTTTCCCTCACATAATTCGATCAACATCGATTCAAACATTCGAATTGTACAAAAACGCTCCTCTGTAATTCTGTTTGTGATGATTGCTCTGCTATCATATACTGTTGACCTACACCGTGTACATTTACATTCATTGTGCTGAGTTGAAGAGAGCAAGAGAGAGACAGAGAGTGATGGAAAGGCACAGAGGTGTGGAGCGAAGCAACAAGGAAGCAAGTAGATCATTGCGCGCGTGTGTGTGTGCGTGTATGTGTGCAATGAGAATAGCCGTAGGATCGTTTCCGTTTCCCCTTCTTCGCAGCCGGCAACCATGTGAGTCCCAACGTTGGGTTCGGTATCCGAACGGAGTCTTCGTGGTGACGGGCAGACGGCCTCTGTCTGTAACGCGGTCCCAGCTGGTCGTATTCTTTCTTTTCCTCGCCGTCGAGGATTCACCAGGACTCGCCGGTCCGTCCGCGACACGCCGCGTAACGTTTAAATGGAAATCCTTGATTGGGATCACGGATATCCACCTCGAAAATACGTGCCGATTGCATGCCGCTCGACTTGACTGGTTACTCGAGTCGCAATTAATGCGCTAGTTACACGAGTTCCCGGTAAACTCGTCACACACCGGCAGTGCCATACTCCTCTTTGTTTCGGGCATCGCTACCGATGACCATGTGACCGGAAGTGGCGACATTCTGTTTCTGTAAAGTCAACAGTGTAAAGTTAGTTTTGTGATAGTTAGTTTGTTAATTGCATTTGTTTGTTGCTAGAGCAGAGACAATATATCTCGATCGGCCACAATTGGAGTAAATGCGACTTAGGTGTGTAATTATAAATGTTTTCATCATTAATAATCTTTAAGCGAAGCTTGCGCTATTTATATTATTCTTGTCTTTTTTTTTATTTTATGCTTTAAATGAGATAACGCGATAACGATATCTTCTGTGATAAAAACTTGTTGTTAGCACCATTTTTATTTTGCAATTACATTTTTCTTATTTATTTTATTTATTATTCGACACTACATGGTGATATGTTTGATGCCTTTAATACTTCCGTTTAATTCTTATCAATATTATAAATGTAGAACATACTAATTTTATTAAATTACAGATCACTCATATGATTAATGTTTACGCAAATGTGACAAATATCGTAAATATCAACGTTTCACCTAATACAAGCTAATTACATCATTTATTTTAAAATAATTTATTTCGAAATTACATTCATAAACATTAACTTACTTGCATAAAATTATATCGTATAGAATATGTTTATCTTTACGGTAGAAGCTTTTATGACAGAGTTTGCACAGTAAATTTTATTACGCAACTTTTATCACTGATGATATAAAATAACTTGGTTACGTTTTAGACAAACGTGCATATTTGATAAATGTTAAATATAGAATAGAGATCCACTTTTTTTTAATTCAAAATATAATTCAAAATATAATTATGTCGAGAGAGAAATGTGCACAGGAATGGTCTCGAATACATGATTTCACGAAAAGTGAAAGCACTGTCTCCACTTGGCGTCCACATAACTGACGTAATTAATCGTCTCCTCGAAATTTAACAGCATCCGGCTCTTGTGACTTTTTCTCGAATATAGGCTCGACGGTTCAAGAGATACTTGTCACTTGATTCTTATAACCCAGTAATTTTACAATGATTAAACATTGCGTATAATTTTATATAAGAAACTATCTGTAATCACAACAGTTTCTATTGGGCTATAAAGCCATAAATTCTAATTGTCTGTGCGATTTTATCTTATCTATTTATGTTACATTTACTGATATTTTATTTTTCGATTGTTCCATCAAACCTTCAATATGGTCACAATTTGCTTTATGAATATTTTCATATTTAATTTTGCTTTTATTCGTAAGTCGTCTGCTTAGCTGATTGTTATTTGTATTTTCTGATGTCTGTTTCATTGTCGCTTTCATCTGTTTACCAACATTTTTTTTCTAAATGAGTAAATACGTATTTTATATCGAAATTTTGTCCTTACATTAAACGATTTGTTGTCAATATAGAAAAACTATGAAATTCAATATTATACAATTTATAGAATTCAATTATTTAATCTATAATTATGTTATAACACGCAAAATGATGACAAAGTTCCAAAAAGATCAGCATCGGAAGAATAATCGCGCGCATCATATATATGGATACTCTTTCGAGTCGGCCTTGATCCTCCTTTTAATTAAACGCTTCCTAGTACCTGGCCATTAAATTAAACGGGGGTGATTAAAACGAGCTCGCCACGAGGCGCGAGAAAGCTGGAAAAATGACTCAACGAGAAGTTTAAGAATAACGCCATAATAACGGCCAATAAAAATTCCATTTTCTAAATGCATATTGCAAATGCAATTAACATTTGCAATAGAATATTAAAAGATAAATTAAAAGTAAAGTAATAAATTCTTCAACCAATATATCAACATATAATGCAAGCATAGCGTATGCGCGGTTTGAATCAACTAAATTGAAAATAGGAAGAAGGAAAATAGAAATACGAATTCAAACCGCTACTTCTACTAAGCGATATTATATTTTGAATGCTCGTCGGAACCTTCAAGAGAGCCTTCAACAGATCTTACGAGGAAAGTTAAATTGACGGTTTTGTGATTCACAGATGGTACTCGCCATAGTCTAAATCTGTACAAAGAACTGCATAAAATGCAAATTTCGAGGACAATCTCATATGAATGCAGGATGAGTCAGGAATTTATTAGTGACCGCGAAAGTGCGGAGAGGACAGACATCACGGATGTTCGTGAAATATTATCGCCGCATTGTGTACTTGTGTCGTATCGATTCGGAGCATTTTTATTTTAATATCCACGTTCATAGTCATTTTAATTCGCAGCTTTGAAATCCAACCTGTGGAGATCCGGCTTAAAAGAGTGGCTAAACAAGTTGTCACTGTATGCATTGATAAGAGATTTATCTCTTGCTTAATACAACTTGCTCATGTAATGCAACATTGGCGATCGATACGAAATTGAAAGCATGTTCTTGAATTTTAAGTCTCTTCACGTCCAAACGCAATAGGATTATGGAAATGTCTTTTCATTTCGAGAAACGTGAAAAATATTGCTGAATTTTTTTTCGAATTAACTACTTTTGTTTCCTCGTCAGTTATGCAAAAATTCTCGACGTGAAATTGATATTTTGTACAAGGCAGTATGATATTGTCGGATTGTATAGGAATATAATACGGGAAAAGTTGTTTGTTTTCACTAATTAACGTTATGAAACGTTACTCGCAGCTCTATTTCCGCGAGTGTCGCACATTCCTGCGAGTTATTCTCGACGAAAACATCAAAAGCGCGTGTTGATCGCGTAATGTTAGATTTAACATTGTCACACCGGTATCATTTTCAGCTAAATCCTCCGCTACTTATATTACTAGTCTCGGCATCTGCGATCCTATAAATGGATAAATTGCGCTGACTCACCGTAGTCTGAATGCGATTTCAACCGACCACAAAATCTAGAGCAAACGTGCGAGACGTGAACGAAGCATTTACAAGAGCGGTTTATTTCAGTTTCCAAATTTTTCCCTTAAAATCGAGAAAGTGTAAAAGCGAGATTTTTTGCATAAAAATTGAAGTTGCAAAATGAAATGGAAATCTCCGAATTTCTCGATATTGAACTGAAGAGCGGCGAAATACGAGGAATTTATCGGCGTGCACCTTCGAAAAACGATGTTGCGCGATTGTCGATATTTTGACGTGTATAGATGACCATTTGACGGGAGAACAATGAAAATTCCGACAGATGTGACGAATGTTTTGATCCAGGCATTCGATTGTATATCTCACGTAACATCGACGAGTAAACTCTCTACGTGTCCAGCACACGTTCGAATAAACACGTAACTGCATCGTTCGGTACATTCACGACTGCACCTGTAGACTGTATAGAATACCGAGAGATTTACTCATGCACACACGCATGTGTACACTCATATGTGTCGTCACGAACAGCGTTGCATACTCCTTTCCATCAGCTGTGCGCGCTAACGTGTCACACGTGCTACTCACGTAAGGCGTTCATCTTCAAACGGTGCGACAGATTTGATTAACTATCTACATTTTGTGTAATGGAGGGTAATGGAAAAGAGAGATATACAACTTGCTATTTGCCCTGCCGATTTCACATGCTCGCTTAAGACTCTTGCGTGTCTCGCACCTTTTGATCTTCATTATTTTCCAATGCTCAGAGCAAAACGTTATATTATTATATAGATCATTTTCTGTGATAATTTTTTGTTTTTAGCTTAAATAAATCAGTACACAATTTTCCTCTGTGATTATCTCGAAAACTCTCTCGACCCTATTCAACCGACAAGTGCACGGAAGTCTAGTGCATTCAGCAGAGTACAATAGGATTGCGCGTCTCTCTGCATTCGCTGCAAACATGCTTTCCACATTCCTATTGAAGCTTTACTGGAGTTAATGCCTAGTTAAAGGCGAAACCACGTAACGTGAGATGCTTGTGAAAGTTTCGTCGCCTCCTTTTTTTTTTTCTTGTCATCACCGAAATACCCGTAACTACAGATCAGAGAAAGTCGTTTCGCACATCGTCACCGGTCGTCCTTGAGACACTCTAAGGATCAATCCATCAAACCGTCTCTTTCAATTAGCAATTGATAAAATCGTTCGAGTGACCGACGAGAGCGATCAATATCTCAAGTCGATTCGAGACAATAGCCGCTAATTATATGATTCATGCGTAAAGTGTTGAATGTCGATACTTATTATCTTTCTGTCGAATAGTTAAAGTTAAAAGCAAATATTTGTTAGTTTTAACAAGATAATGATCAAGAAAATGATCTTGATAGCACCCACTTGACTTGTGATATATTCTTTTGTCGAAATAATTCAGTATTTTAGTAGACCAAGTGCGCAATTGTTTTTCTATTATTCGTAGAGTTCTTGTGCCCGGTTTATTTTCTTATCGCCAACAATGACACACTTCGTTATCTCATGTGTTTGAAAAATTTTCCGACAAATAGAAAATTCTGATTGGAAATCGCTGGCTGTACTCCTTCTTAAACGAGAGATATCGCGGAGAGCAGCCGTAAGTCAATACGTACATCGAGTATCCGAGGGTTATATATTCGCATTTACGGGCGCACCTATCATTTCGTTCTTTGCTTTCAGCCTGATCTGCCAAGGAGCTCACAAAGCTGAATGGCTACGTCGGTGCCGTCATCTCTAAGAACTCGCGGCTTATCTGCGTTATGGCTTCTCCTGCTACTATTGCCAGCCGCACTTGCCACCTACAGCATCGGCGTCGGAAGAGCTGACTGCACAGGACCTATTGCAGATATTGTCTTTGTTAGTATTAACACTTTGTGTATTTTCTAGTGGAAATCTCGTAAAAAACTGCGCGTAAAATATTTAGTGGAAATCAAATAAAAGTTTTTATTCGAACGAACTATGTATTATATTAACAAATAAAATTACAGAATGCAGAGTTTCTTTTAAAAAGTAAAAAATTACGGAAAAATATTATGGTTGGTAAAAATGAAAACTACATTAATGGAGCTACACTAACAAAGTAATTAAAACAAACAATGTGGGATTTAAACGAGTTTTCAATTTCAATAACCATTGTATGCGTTTCAGATGGGATATGCAAAAATCGAGCAGAAGGGAAATGGTCTTCACCTTCGAACTTTTTCCAGGGCTTTCATAATAGACGATGGCGTAGAAAGATTTGTGTTTGTCAGCGTGGATAGCGCGATGATATGCCACGACATACGGCAAGAGGTGATACATATTTATTCTTGGTTATATTTACGATTGCTGTAGAAACTGCATTTATAAAATTGACTTTAGATACAAAAGAGAGAAGAGTCACTTCTGATAAAAAGGCATATGATATAGATTTTCATTAATTTATATTTCTGATCTATCACACAATTTGTGTAGCGCGAAACTTTTCAATAGTTTTTCACATCTGAATACGTGTGCGGTTAAAATGTACGATTTGTTTTTAGGATAAGCTTTGTCCCAAAATGCGATCGTTATCGCGCGATATTAATCGTAATTCTTCTCGCTGCAGGTGCTGCGCAAATTGCGACTCCAATTTGACGACATGTACACGGAGAGAAACGTGATGATTAGTGGTACACATACTCACTCGAGCCCGGGTGGTTTCATGCTCGACGTACTTTTCGATTTGACCACATTTGGCTTCGTCAGAGAGTCGTTTAACGCCGTCGTCAACGGTATAACAAAGGTGAATTGATACGCAAACGTGATTACGGCGTTGTATTGTGCGCCATTCTACTAATCAATGATAATAGCCGATAACAATGATATTTGTATCGATATTACAGAGCATCGAGCGCGCCCACAATGCTGTTGCGCCTGGAAAGATCTTTATCACACACGGTCAAGTTTTAGATGCTAATATTAATAGAAGCCCGCAAGCCTACCGTAATAATCCGCAATCAGAGAGAGACAAGTGAGCCATTGAATAGTTATAATGCGTTTTATCTGAATAAATAATACAATTTTTTTATTTTCCATTATCTAAAAGAATAATACAATTTTAATTATATTAGCAGATAGAATCGCTCAAAATGTTTTCAAAAGAAAAATATTTTAAAATTATAATAATATTAATATTCACCATAAATTATAGGATATTTGGTTACATATAAATTAATGAGACGCAGAGGCGGTTTGCTACATCATTTTTTAAATCGTTTCGAGCGAAATTGATTGTTAATATCAGAGCATTAGGACGTTTGAAGGACGTATTTGCCGTATTATAAATGTAGCCTTGCATTCGGATTATGTACGCAACGTTCTCAAATAACACAGGCAGTCAATTTAGATTGCAAATTGCTTAGTAAGGGGATTGCAGAATGCATTGAGGTATCGAATATTCGCACCCGGGGTATATTAATTCTCGGAATACACAAACCGATCGTGTTTATTACATATTACACGATGTATGACATGTGTCAACGTATTTGCAAGTATTTCTCTCCGTGTAAGCGGGAGAAATACATTCTCGAAAATTTATGATAGAAATTATGACAGAAATCGTTTTAATCGAATTTTCATGATATTTCGCAATATGAAATATAAGTTTCTTTTATTTCGATGAAACTCTTCTAGTAATTTTATTTTAAAAGAATCGAGTTGAATTTTATTTTAATGACATTTCTTTGTCAGAAAAAGAGCCAACAGATAAGATTCAAATTTCTTCTCCTTTTTTCAGATATGAATATGACGTAGACAAGATATTAACGCAGGTCAAATTCATCGGCGCCGATGATAAACCCATGGGTGCCATAAATTGGTTCGCCGTGCATCCCACTAGTATGAACAATACCAATCGCTTGGTCTCCAGCGACAATGTAGGCTACGCTTCGATCCTCTTCGAGAAAATGATGAACGATAATGGCGCGACTGGCAAGGTAAGTCTGCGCTAACGAATACACATCGCTGAATTAATTGGCGATGCGTACACCGCGGCGAGTTACACGATGCTCTATTTTCTACGCCGTGCCGCAATGTCAAATATAATGAAGAATGTCAATATAATATAATAAAGAAGACGGATAGTAACAATAAGTAAATTTACCGCGCGCCGAGGTGAGATTGCGAAATTACGTACACGAACATATTTAAATAAATTGTTTGAAATGAGCAAAATTGCATGCAGGCGGTAGTTTCATGAGCTTTTATTTTCCCGCATTATACGCTCAGAAGATCGCGTGCGTCCACTATCATTATCTCTTTTTCCCTTTCAAGCTAAATCCATTTGGCCTCTTTGTTGTGCAGCCTGCTGCGTATTTTGGTTGCATTTTATTTTTTACTTGGCACTGTTAATTCTTATCTACTCTATTGTGATAGTCGCATTTACATTTTAAACAGTCAGAGTACGATTAATCAGAATTCTAGCAAAAATTCTAGGATGCACATATCGCACATTATAATGTAGATAAGATAATATCCCAGTGGCTGAACACGTCTCAATCTCCGATCATATATTAACAAAACGGTTATTACTTGATATTTATAAATATAAAGCTAGAAATAATAAAAAATTGTTAATAAATTAATTTTACATAAAAAAGGATTACATAATAATTAATGGTATGAAATAATAAAATTATATCATGTTAGATTAATCTATTAAACTTATTAATTATAATTATCTATTAATTTATTATTAATTAATTTATTAAAGATTAATCCTTGACAATTTTATTAAGAGCAAATAATTTTTTTGTGGAAAAGTTGAAAAGAAGCGTTCTTATATTTTATAATAGAAACAAATTCTTGAATTTTTTATCTAAAAAGTATCTTACGCGTACGTTTTACATTTTCGCTGGTATATTTTTATATCTTTTCATAATAATCTTGTCATAATATTTAATCGACTATAAATTAATAATTTTAATTGTAGTCTTAGTTCTGTTAAATAAATTTTAATCTTTATTATGTATTAAGAATGAGAAGAATATTATTGATAAAAAAAAGTAATATATTTAATATATAACAAGTAATTCTTGAATGCCCGTCACTGACATTTTATTTTATGTAAGAAAACGATAGTTAAATAACGTCAGGTTAATGCAATTCATTTCATTTGCATGTTATTACGATTTTACTACGTGTAATTTTGTTCATGGGCGATTTTCTTAGGACAATTAATGGATAATGAAATTTTATTCTCGCTTGAAATTAACTACATTCCGTAGTAATATGACTTGATGAAGTTTTATATATATTTATGACAAAAAGTGACGCGCAATCATATATCGTTTTATTTTCCATACTTATTTTACACGTGTCTGAAAGTTCACACTCTCTCATCTCATAAAATTGCAGAAATTAATGTGATTTAAACAATAATTAAGTAATGTAGTTTATTGTTGATAAAATAAATGAACGAGAGAGTAATATTTTTCAATACAAGTGCCATGATATTTTTTCTAGGGCTCGTTCGTAGGAGCCTTCGCCTCGACGAATCTCGGCGACGTTTCACCGAACACACGTGGACCAAAATGCGAATTCTCCGGTAAAAACTGCACCGATCAGTACACGTGTCCCGGGGAGAAGGAAATGTGCTTCGCTTCTGGTCCTGGCAAGGATATGTTCGAGAGTACGAGTATCATTGCTCACAAGCTTTATGAGGAGTCATTGGTGAGTATGCCATTTCTTGTCATTTTTGTCCACGTATTTTCCGTCATCTTTTCCTTCATTTGTTCGCGAGATACATGCCACAATAAATATATAATTTATAATTTCAAATTCATATGTCTCGAACAATTTCTAAAATGATCCAACGTATCCGCTTTAAAAAGTCAAGTAAAAAAAGTGTAAGCGATTTCTCCAGCTGGCGCTTATATGCACTCGTAGATGCCAAAAACAGACATTAATTGATCATCAAAATCAGATTATGCCGCGAGAAAAATGAAATAATTGGAAAGCGTGCACGGGGGTTTCACGCTCTTGGTAATGCGCGCAAGTTCAAGTGCTCCGACAAAGCGATACTCAAGAACTGAACGTACATTCAACACGTGTTGCTCGATTCGAAGACTGTTTCCGCGCTTCCTCGTGTGTGTAGTATTAATTACGATTCCTTATATGAAATTTATTAGCGGCACAGGCGAAACTACAGGCACGTCGAGATAGTTATCAGACAAGTTAAGTAACTTTACGCGCGTAGTGCGATCCATTAGTGCAATTCATTAGGAGATAATTAAAAATGAGCACAATATCCGTATCACGAGACATTAACCATTGTCTTTTACGGTTAAAAGTCAACGTTAAAAGTCATAATTGTGAAGGATCTTAATCAAACTACGATTGCTTTTACTTTCTGAAGATTTGGGATTGAGGTAAGAATCGTTAAAAAAATTAATAATTGAACATTTCCAGAAATAATGATTAATAATGGTTTGTTAGTGATTTTATATGGAATTTAAGGCGCTTTCGTATCAAATGACAATATTGGCATCGCCAGTATTTGTTTTTATTTTTTTACCATTTTAATTGATCATTTATGAAGCAATTTAACAAAAAATGTAAGAAGTAATGTTTTTCTCTCATCTAATTGAATAAAGACTTTTAATAGCAAAGGAAATTGTCTCTCTCGTCATTTTCTGCAGATTAATTTTAATAGTACGGAAACTCATTTTCTTTGAAACTATAATAATGCTCATTGTGTTATATTATTGAAAAAACTAGAGACGTTTACATTTCGTTGAATTTCTTTAAAAATTTCTTTAAAAAAACCATAAGCAAATATAATTTCGTTATCATTAAATTCCTTTTCATTGAATAAAAATTAAATAACAAGTTAGTTGAAAAATCAATATTCAGCGAGAAATTATCACAACAGTGATATCTGCGTCATGTTTAATAAATGCGTCACGTCATGCGTAATAAAGTAAGATATTTTTATTTTGACACAAATAAATTTTACACAATTGTTTTATTATTATTATTATCAATTCTTTTTTACAACTTTCCCGTTTTCACATATTATAAAATATATATTATAAGATGTCATATTTTATGCACACGTGGATACAAAAAAACTTAACATTTGTATTTTTCTTATTTTTAACAAAATCTAATCTCTACTTGATGATTTTTATCTGTGTTATACTTTTCTAAATATACGTCTACTTTTTTTCTCGCTGTATTCTAATTCAATGACGGCGGACTTTTGCCCCCAAAATAAATTTAAGTTTAGCTCTGTAAATCTAAGTTTAAATTAAATGTTATTGCACGCAAATTGGAAAACTTTTCGTTCGACGATTAGATCAGCGTAACATTTTCTACGAGACAGCAAATCATTTGCATACTATCTTTGTTTTCTAAATTATTCACGGCATTGCATGTATTTTCGAACGTGTGCGATGCCTGAAACGGAAAGCACAAGAGGCGTCGTGACAGTCGATGAAATTTATATATTATCATACTTGTAAATAAATCGATAGTTCAGACATGCGCGGTCACATCTCAATTCCAATGCCATTAAATGGTTCTCTTTTTAAACGATAGACACCTCCGTGCGGTTTCGTGGCTTAAATGGAGCGTAAAATAAATAGATAAAACTACTTCTGTTACCTGAAAATAATCGGTTCTCGCGTTGATGCTGTTCAATGCAATCAGACGCTTCGAAATAGGGCATCAGGTAATGAAATGAAGAATTAAGACAAAAATACTTTTATTCCAACAAGTAGAAAAATCAAATAAAATTATCATCATTGTATGAAAAGATTCGGGATTTTTTTATAATTTGAATCATCAATGATATATGTTATTCATCACAGTTTAGTAAAAATATAACTCTGAACTTTTTTAAATTCTATTTTTATATATCAAAAGGGACAAACTCAATTTTTTAAATTAACGTCGATCGCCAGTTCAGCAGATTTAATTGATTTAATTGAAAAGTAAAATAAATCACTGTCATTCACATTAATTAACAGATCGATTAATTAATGCCCTTTGACGAAACGCCCGATTCGACGCTATTTACACGATGACTAAATCAATAGTGCTTCTCGTAGTCGTAGCTGTTGTAGTGCGCCGGCGAAACGTACTTGATGATCGGCACCGGCTTCGGGTGTATCGCCGGTCCAACTTTCTTCACGACGGCATTGAATCCATTGTGGTCGTCCGCGGTGTATTCGACGATACGCACGCTTCCGTCGGGCTCGTTCACGCTGTACGAGCCGTGAACGACGTCGCCGTCACGCACCTCGTGCTGCGTCTTCACGTCGCCCGTATGCGGATCGTGCACGCCATAATTGAAAGTGTACCTCGGATGCGACTGCAACAACACAACGTGCCATTATAACGCGAGTTTCCGCTGAGCTGGCGATAAATATTCATATACCGAAATTGCTCAGACTTTAACCACTTAATATGAACGTCACGAACTAACGTCACTTGATGATCCGTCAATGTATTCTGTATCCTTCATAGTATTATAAAACGTTGATAGATACACAAGGATCCCAATTTTTGCAATCATATATTGATCATATCTATAACGAAATATTGCAATTTTTGTGCGAGAAATAAAAACAAGATAGTTTAAAAAAATAAAATAAAAAATAGATGAGTTTGAAAAATTTATAACTCGACGAAATTTAATTTATTGAACAAATATTGAATAGAACATGGACAGAATATCTCTTGTACTTGCAACTTCGCAATTGCATTTTGATGACAAATTTCTTAATAAATTTGGAATGAGATATTCTGCTTGGAATTGTCTGTGATTCCATAAAGCGATTTTGCAATTTAATGTCAAAAGTTTATAATAGTAAATGAGACATAATTAATATGCTGATTACACAGTGCTGCAGTTGATTCTACGTGTTTTTCGGCGATGTAATTATCTTAGTATGCAGCGCGACGCGTTTTCCCGTCATATGATATTACTCGAAGCGCTGCTTCTGGTGACAATTAACTTCTGCGAGAAAGCGACGACAATGAGAGCCGACAATAAGATACGGCTAAGGGGGAGGAAGTGCCGTCGCAAACGTTGCTTTTCAGTGACAGGAATCTAAATTAACATATACTTTTCAGAGAGACGTTCTCTTTCCGCCCATAAAACACGATCTAATTTCGCGAAACTCGAAACACAGCTTTGCATTTTTCAGATCTTGCGTGAATTTTTATTAAAAGTTGTTAATGTGAGTTGTTAGTGAGAGAACAACTTTTTCTCAAGCGATAAGAGACAAAATTACGAGAAAAACTACACTTTTCTCTCAAAATGGCATATCGTTTGCAGCGTTCGTTGCAAGAGTAATTAAAGTTAATTATTTTTGAAGAATTTTCAAAAGGAATTTAAGAAATTTTGAAAAAACGCACAAAACATTGCTGAATGTTTCCAGAAAAATTATACGCCGACGATGCGATAAAAAAAAAAGTGAATACCACTTGCGACGCAGAATTTAACATGATACTCACGTAGTAGTCGTGGTCATGCTCCACGTGATGTTTGTAGCCGTGCAATCCATGGTCCAGTGTTGCGTCCACGTGCAATGGCGAGGCGGACACCGCGTGCACCGGGACTGCGACCGTCGGCAAAACTTTGTATTCGGCGGATCCTACGAGATCGGATCCTACGTATCCGTCGAGATCGCTGTAATCGCTGTATGACAGGCCATGGCCGCCGCCGTTGTAGCCGCTGAGAACAACCGCGTTGCTGCACGCCAACGCGGCACAGAGGAAGGCAACCGTCTGAAAGGCACAATTCGCGATCGTAAATCTCTGTGGGAAAACGAGATTGTTAGCAAACAGTTGTGTCAAGGATTATATAGTTTCCTCTTCTTTTTCTTTTTCTTTCTCTCTCTCTCTCGCTCTCTCTCTCTCCGAGATATATTTTGTTAACTATTTTCCGAGAATGCGCTCCGATATTCAAAAATGTAACAGCAGACAAATGAATTTCCGTGCATCGCACATGATTTTCATTAGTCACCCAGATGCGAGATTCCGATCGAAGCCGAGTTTGGAAAGTCATCGGGGCTGATGTATCGGGAAAGTTTCTGGACAGACGCGCTTCTCGAGTTTCGATGTTTCGTTACGCCTCGAGCCGGAAGTCCTGCCGGCGAGAAGAGCGTCCTTTTCACTTTCACGGCGACCTTGTTATCCGCGACCCGATAGATCGTAAGTCAATACAACGCCGCGGAAGTGGTTAAGGATCTTGCTTCCTTATTCACCGCAATGAAAATGATACATCGCGGATAAAACGTTTATTACCACCCTCGGCTACATTATTCACGGCTGAGAAAGTTAATGCGGATTCTGATGCTTCGAGATAAACCAGAAGACCGAAAAGGAACAGAAATATAAGATTCTTCAGAAAGCTGAAAATCTGAAAACTGCAATTTAAAGTAATGCAATTGATTTTTTAAACACATCTTTAAAGATACGTAATATTTAATGAATGAAATGTTACGCGTAACATTGCGAAACAATTTTTAAAAAGTATCGATATATCAAATAATATCCGCAGGAAAACGCTGGTGGATATGTAATATTAGTAATATTCAATGAATAAAATGTTATATTCAAAATATGACATACATTACAGTGTAATTAAAGAAGATTTTAAAACATAATACAAGGAAATATTTTAATATTAAAAAAATATCCGTGAGAGAATAAAAAATAAATATTATCTAAAATTCATGCAGATGACTTTTTTTAATTACGGAGAATTTAATATTCAGCCGAAGTTTTATGGCGACATGTAGAGAAAAACTGAAAATGAAGAGAAAAACGTTTTTTTACCTACTATACCTGATATTTTATTTACATGATAAATTCGACTATTCAAGAATATTAGTCAAATCTTCTGTTTATCTTTGTTTATCATACTTTTTTAATTACAGTTTAAAAAGTGAACTCTATCGTTTTGTATACCTATTCACCAGCTCAACAAAAGCAATTTCGAAACTATCTCTCCTGCTCTCTTACCGCGGCAAAGCGCATTTCAGATAAAAACATGAATAGATCCCTATCCGCCTACTCCAAATAATGTTTGGAGATATCTAACATTGTAACAGGCATCCTGCAAACGTGGAATAAATATGAGAAATCCATTGAAATGATAAACGCGGCGCCGGAAACGAATCTCGAACGCGGCCGGTGGAAAGAGCGACACACACTCGCAGGAACCAACCACCCGACCACCCACACACTCGTTTCCATGCCACACTCATATCGCGCGGAGCCTGTACCTTCAGCATGATGTTTTCACGTTTCCGCTTACACCACGTTCAACCCGTATGCAAGACCGTCGAGCGCGAAGTCACTGATAGCATTATTCCCGGACGATGGGCTTATATCCATCTCCCACCTTACGGTGGGTTCCGTTCCGGGCAAAAGCTCTCGGCCTCGTGCGCCACCGCTCTCCTCAGGCTCCCTGCCGCTTGACGTACTCTACCCTTCCTCGCATCTCTTTTTGTGTGTGAGAAAACACACGGCTCCACGTGCTCGCCTCCGCGGTAGTGCACGTCGCCCGTAAGCCGCTCGTGCGAAAATCCCGAAAGGCATTTCGCTCGCGGTGTTCAACATGGCCGTTACGCCCGATTCGATCTCGGGAAGACGACGGGAAGGTCGGCGGAAAGGTTACGGGTGGAGCCTAGCTATGCGGCGGGTGGATGTGGGATTCGGAGTCGCCAGTTCTTCCGCTCACAGACGTCACTTGCGCCGGATTTTACGGTTAGTCGTTAAAGATGCAGCGGATTGATTGGGCCGTCAAAGCCAATTATGTTGAAAGACTGCGACAGGTAATCGTCGGCGGATAAACCTTATTTCTCTAGTTATTTGCATGGTAACTATGTTCGCGGGGGTTAGTCATTATTCATTTCAATGAATTCCGAAACAGCGGAAGTTATAAGTGGACGTAAAATTAAATCGATAAGAAATTTAAAATGATTATATAAGAGAATTGCCAATTTAGCAAAAGTATTGCGTATTTAATTTCACTCGCAAAAAAATCTGACGCATTTTACGAATAATTTTCTGACGGGATTTAATAATGTTAGACAAAAAAGTTTGTATCATACTTTTATATTGAAAAAAACGTTTAATTTTATTTCTTTGACAAACAGCATTAAAAATGCAGCTGTAAATATTTCAATTTTTCTCTTTTATCTGCATAAAAAGTTTTAAATAAAATAAATTAAATTTTACGTTACGATAATTTCAATTTTTAGCAAAATGCGTAATACTTGATGAAAAAACTTTGAAAATGCGAAATTTTGCGACGAGAATTTCCATGAAATGTGATCCGAAATCTCTTTATCTACATGATTACAAATTTAATTACTAATTGCGCGGTATAGGAGGAAAGCCGATTGTTTATGCATCATTGTTCCCTACGCGCGCAAACATATTACGCCACTCTTAACGTAACGAAAGAATGTGGTAACGGAAGATGTTCTCACTTTGCATGTTCATAGCCGAATTAATACCATCCTGTTTTTTGTGAAATCGCTTACGCACTTTACTTCGCGAAGAGAGCACACGCGCGTAATTAATGCGCGAAATTTGCGCCGAATTCCTTGAGCCGCGGAATAAAACCGGACTACGCATTGCGGAACATCCTGAAGCGAGAAATATTCTTTGGTTACGAAAAACTTCTTGCCCCCTTGACTTACGCGTCGTATACGTCTCTCGATTGCGAAACTGTGAAAAATTTCACGCGATCTGGTGATGTAATCCGAGAGATGCAAAGGGGACATAAATTAGATTTTGAAATAGAAGTTTTTCTCTAAATTGATATAATGCGCTTGTTTTAACAGAAACCAATCAGCTTGAAAGAAACGCGCACATTTTAATGAAAAAAAAGCCAGTTTTTAAATAAGCCTGTCAAGCTGCAGAATTATTTTCACGAGCATCCTTCATAAATGTAGCAATCTTTTAAAGCGGAAACAACTTCTTTGCATAGATCTTATTCCGCGATACTTCTTGTTTCATAATTGCAGCACGGCATAAATACAGTGTCATTTTTTATAGAAAACACGATGTCTTTATGAAGGAAGCGAACTTTAATACTTTAATACTTGGATATATTGGTTTTGCCGTTCGGCGAAGGCGTGGTAACTTCTTTTCCCTATTTCTCGCTTACGCAATTCTTGACAAAGCCTGCTTGTCTTCGCGAACGAGCAATGTTATTTCTTTGCACGTAAGATACACATCATCGTCGTTCCGTGAACGGGATCCGATGAACGCGTTGGAAAAAAGAGAAAAAAAAGGTCGGTCCCGCCCGAGTGACTACGCGCAATCTATCCGGATCAAGATCATAAGCGACAAAAACCTTTCAATCTCAGCCCAAATTCTTTTGTCGCGCATTTACGTAACATGCATCATTGCCGGACTTGTTATTCAATAACGGATTGCGTGATTCCATTATTTTCCATGCGATATGTTGAAATTTATTACTTTGGCGACTGTGAGCGAAATGTGCGTCGATTGCGCGCAATTATATCGGATTAGAGTGATCGATCGTTCGAAGCTTCGCGCGTTATTTTTTTCTCTCTCTCTCAGCGCTAGAAATCTCTCTCGCGTAGAAATTTCCTTCGGGTAAAAAAATTTCACTCGCTACATGCACTTATAAAGCTTTAAACGATCGATCAATCTAATCCAATATAATTGCGTGCAAATCAGCGCGTACTTCGCTTACAATTGCTGAATTACAGAAGCGGGCAGAACGGCCCTCGTTATCCGTTCTGTCTTCCATTTATCACGCAGGCAGGAGCTACGTAACGTTGCGCGATTCGGGCGCGCTAAATCGCCCGATCGCCGTCACGCTCGCGAGTGTTTCGCAACTCCGCGAGGCGCGGAATCGCGCGCTCTAGATTCCGATTTTCGTATGGGAATCGCACGCTAATTATACACGAGCGATTCGTTTCTCGCTCTTTCTTCTTTTCACTTTTTTTTTCTTGACCAATGACATTGCCTACTGGACACATAATTGAAGGTTATCCGCGGACGATTTCGTTAAACCGTCGAGATATTGCCGCTTTCTTTCGACTGCGAGTCAGCCCGTTTCTTACGCAGTCGCTTATTACTCGACAACGACTGTGGCAACAGAGTTTCATAAGGGAATTCTGGTGCCACGCTGAATTAAGTTCGCTTCGTCTATTTGAGCCTCTTTCAAAAGGACGACGACAACGTCGACGACGGCGATGGTAAAAAAGCGCATCGCAAACAGTTTTCATAGATAATTTATTCCGAACTGATGTTTCAGAGAACCAACATACTTGAGGGATAAGTGAAATCATAACTGGTTGGAAATATAGTCCCGTTGGAAAAGCATTCTTCTATAAAAAGAACAGTTTGCTTTGAACATTTTAATGTAAATATTTTATGAAACCGAAGGAAAAAATAACAGAAGAAAGGTTACATAAATCTTTTCTATTTTAGTTTATAATTATTCTACCGGCAAATGTTATATGTAACAATCTTGATTTTCTATTTTGCATTATTATTTTAAATTCACTTCGCGGTAAAAATAGCGTGGAAAATGACGATATCGATGAGATCAATCCATTTATTTCCGTCGTGTAATATGTGTCAGCATCCGCTCGCTGATTGCAGGTGAAGGATTACGTAATCTTATGTCCTTCGTGAGCAACAGTTTAAAGATGACAAAATAGGGCGTAGCTGTCGATGTGTAACGATATACTCGTTCAAGGGTCGTAACTGCAATAGGAACGGGCATGCTGCCGCAACGATACTTTCTCACCGTTCACGCGACCGAAGACATTATATACCTCGTTTGTTCGCGTAAAACGCAATACCCATCAGTTACGAAGAGTAAATCTCTATCCTGGATAATATTTACTGCCTATATAACAGCAGTTTTACCGCAGCAATCAAATAAATGCGCGTTGTTTAGATAAATATTTTACCATTGTATTCGAGAAGCTGTTAAATCAATATACGAATTTTGTGGATATTGTTTGAAAAGTTTTTTTTTATGTGGCAAATAAATATAGTTTTTATTTAATGTTAATTAACGTTAACAATATTTGGCGCGCATTCCAAACAGAGTCTAGTGATGCTTATGTTTTAACCATGCATGCATGGAATGTTTGAACAAAATTTATCAAATATTTTTTTCGCTGGCAGAACTCTGTGTTTATTTTTGCTACCGTGCCAGTGATGAAGTATTGCAGAAACACGAGGATTTATCCGTCAGAATACTAAGAACTTTTTTTCAGAAAATTAAACACATTTTTCGCGAGCAAGGCTACATTGACGTAGATTACTGTATTTTACGTCTATTGTAGATTGTACGGCTACATTATTTGCATTTTCATTTCCATCGTGTTTAACTAACAATATTTGAGTATTTCGTTTCCAAACTAGAAAGCCTTTCGCGTTTAATAAATAGTTTCAACTCTCGTTATATCAACATCAAATATAGTTTCTCGATGAAAACAAGATTTTTTTGACAAACTCTATTATATCAATACGCGAAATACTCTATCAATATTCCCACGCTCGAGCCACCGTAAAGTGACCCCGGTCGCAAGAGCTCTTTGGCAAATGTCACTCTTGTAATTATGTCTCGCCTAATTCCTCAGGTGAAAAGAGAAAAATCACGCTTGTCACGCGACGGCGATGACGACAGCGAATACGTCGTTCTTATTCCACCGTCTTTTCGAAGAAACCTATTCAGCGGGGCTATTTTGTCGTGGAGGGAGTCTCGCCTAACATTCCACTTCGTAGTGTAGAAGGGACGTACAATTCGTCTCCGTTACGATTCTAATAACCGTGAAGTCGTGAGAGGTTTGCTCGTGACCATAATGCCAAAGCAGATACGTTGGGCGATACGGGAACAAACGCAGCCGAATGCACGTTATACGAGCGCGCATAAATGTGATGGAAAATAATAGATATATATAACATAGAAAGTTTAAGGTGGAACATCAAAGGAGAATGGCGCACTGACGGGAGTCGTTACTAAATTCTATTTCAGGATATTTTATTTGCTCGAGACTCGAGTTCATTGAGGCAAGAAAGGCAGGGAAAGAAAGAATACGAAGGGGCAACTAGACTGAAATTAAATATTGAGCTATGTCCTCGGATTCTTAGTCCTTTGCGATACGTCGAAATGAACTCGACAGAGCACTTACTATTAGCTTCTCTGCTTGTTCCTTCAAATATAATGGTTCAAACAATACATAATCGCGGCAAAAACTATACTTTCTTTCTTCATAAAATTTTCCAGATGAATATTAAAATTAAAAATATTAAAATGAGGACAAAATGGCTTTATTAATATTTAACTGATCGACATTAATTCGGATCGCGGAATTA